GACTGCGACACCCAGGCGCCCCTCCAATCTAAATTTCAACAAAGCTTTTTGTGAAGCATGATACTCTGAATTGTATGGAAGAGCAAAGGGTCAAGAATAGCTGTGATGTTCCAAAACAAAGCCAAGGAACTTGTCTAAGTAAATATTACCAAAATACTGTATTCAATGGTATGAACACCAAAAAAAACACAAGTAGACCAACAGAACGAAATAAATATATCACAAAGACCCATGCATCTGCAGAAATGTGGCACTACATACTGACGAACAAGCTGATTATTTAATAAATGACGCTGAGGGGCACCATGGCTCAGTGGCTCAGTCGGTTGAGCGTCTGACTCTTGATTTCAGCTCAGGTCATGATCTCATGGATCTGGAGTTCAAGCCCTGAGTCCTGCTCTTCACTGAGCATGGAGGCTGCTTGGGATTCTCTTTCTCCCACTCGCCTGAATGCACTCTCTCAAAATAAACAAACATTAAAAAAAAAAAACAAACCAGTAATAATAAATGATGCTGAGACAACTAATTATCTACACAGGAAAAAAAAAGAAATAGAACCTCTATTTCACACCATTACACAAGTCAGTGCCAGGTGGAATAAGAACTTGGGATATGAAAAACAAAACTTAATAAAAGCTATCTTTATCGCCTGCAGGTAGAAGAAGATTCTTAAATAAGACATTAAGAACCCTCAAAACCCTAAGGGAAAGGAGGATACATTTACTAAATTAAAAATAACTTCTGTTCATTGAAAGACGCCACAATGACAGTAAAAAAAAAAAAAAAAAAAAAAAAAAAAAAAAAAAAAAAAAAAAAAAATACAATGCATACACTGAAAATAGGTACCTGTAATTAAGTCAGTAAGCAGATACATAATAAAATTCCCCAAACCAATATAAAAGACATTCCAATACAAAAATTGGGGAAAGGTAATGCTGAGTTAAAAAAAACAAATACAGGTATGGAAACAAGCACACAATGTTAATTACATAAAAGTTCAAAAAAAACCAAAATTAAATATACCCTTTAATTTTTTTTAATGTTTATTTATTTTTGAGAGAGAGAGAGAGAGCGAGCGAGCAAGCAGGGGAGGGACAGAGAGCGAGGAACAGAGGATCCAAAGTGGGCTCCATGCTGACAGCAGAGAACCCGATGCAGGGCTTGAACTCACGAACTGTGAGATCATGACCTGAGCTGAAGTTGGACGCTTAACCAAATGAACCACCTAGGTGCCCCTAAATACACCATTTAAATACATATGTATTCACAATAAAACTATTCAGAAAAGAGAAAATGATTAGCACAAAATTCCAAATAGTGTCTCTCTCATAAAAAGGGAGGGGCATTAAATCAAGGAGAGCTACAGGGACCTTCAGTGATAGGGCACCGCTATTATTTCTTCAGCTGACTAGTGAATGCACAGCTGTTCATTAACGTTCTTTATACCTTAAGTCAATGTTATAGTCTTTGTGTATGAAGACTAATTTTAAAAGCTGATAGACCTTTTGTACGGGAAGCCAAAAGCAGTTTCCAAAGCTTTGCTTTTTTTAAAGCAGAACTTCTCTGAAGAAAATTAACCAGTAAAATGGACAGAAGCAGAGCTCCTCTGGTTAAAGTGGGGGAGAGAGAGAAGGTCCAAGACCTCCTAACTCCCACACTCTCATGCAGAATGTGAAGTACCTTTTCAGAGAAAAGCAAGGCAGCGGGGGTGGGGAAATTAATGGATTCCGTACCAAAATCTCTTGAAATTCTTTGATTCTAATGTGCTAAACCATAACACCCATCCATGAAGTATTCCCTCGATTCACTTACACATATTTCATAAAAGGCCAGATAGCACAGGAGCATTTGAAAGATTTACATGTACATTCCTTAGCCACTACTTACACTGCATCCACATGTAAATTTGCTTCAGCATGTTCCCCTTTGAAACATGATCTTTTCCTAAGCATCAGGTTGATTACACTAGCATAAGCATTTTTAGTTATTATGTCGACACAGCCATCACTCTAATAGAATCATTTATTTTATTTAACTGGCACATTTCCCAGCGTTATCAAATTGGCAATTTAAGACATGTCTAAATTGACGAGCTCCAAAAGATCTAAGTTTCCTGAATGAACTGTGTTCAATTTTAATTAGTTTAAAATAACATATTAAGAAAACCCTTCTAGAGTCTTTAATAGGTTTTTAAGAACCACACTTTCTGTTAATCTGGTTGACTTGAAAATGTTGTAAAAATAAGCCTTAAAAACTTTTTTTTTTTTTAAATCAAGTACTTATCAGAACCAGAATAATAAACAGTAAGCCAGTGGCACTCTCACAAAGGAGTGTCTGGCAAATTGCAGGGATTCCAATGCACTCAACAGATGAACAAACCAGAAACAGCTTAAGTAAAAAAGTGAAGTTAATTCACCAGCTAAGTTTCTACTTTTGTTTTACTACCACCTATTTAGTTGAATAACCTCAGATGACGTAATATGTGGGGAGATTAGCTAGGTTCACACTTCAAAAACTGCAACAGAATTCTTCTGCTTTATACTTTTTTTTTTTCATTCCAAGCTACATAAAAGAATCAACTAAAAAAAATTGCCCTTACCTTGTTCCACAGTCTATGGCCCTGATCCCAGGCAAAACAAAAAAAGGACTAGTACATATTTTTCACGAAGACTGGAAAAAACTCAAAGGACGTAATTAAAAGTGACTCTAAAATGTTCTCTTCATTTATGAAGAACAGCATTATAAATGTTACATAATAGCTGCTTATCATGCATATTTGAAAAACTTAGCATTTTTAAGTAAAAAAAAAAAACTTAAAACAATGATAATTTTGAATATAAATAAAAAATAAAATCATCATGATTTTCATTCTAATCACAGAGGAAACTTGCTAAAACCTAGTTTCTAAAAGAGTTTAGTTCGGAGCTTAGATATACAGTCATATCCTTTGGCGTCCCACAAATCTATTTAATTTTCAGGTTTTTAAGGATCACATGCGCCATCTATCATTTCTATGAAGAGTCTCCAACAGTAAGATTATTCCTCCTCCAAATTATGTTTTACGTGTTCATTTAAAGCAGTAAGTCTTGGGGCGCCTGGGTGGCGCAGTCGGTTAAGCGTCCGACTTCAGCCAGGTCACGATCTCGCGGTCCGTGAGTTCGAGCCCCGCGTCAGGCTCTGGGCTGACAGCTCGGAGCCTGGAGCCTGTTTCCGATTCTGTGTCTCCCTCTCTCTCTGCCCCTCCCCCGTTCATGCTCTGTCTCTCTCTGTCCCCAAAATAAATAAACGTTGAAAAAAAAAAAAAATTAAAGCAGTAAGTCTTAATCAGGTACATACACATTCAATGCCTATATTCTACCCCATTCATTTATACTTACTTGCAGCCTGACAATGAAACCGAAATCCTCGTGGAATTTCACCTATAATACAAAATATTTTGTTGAGAGAAGTTCTCTGGTTTTGCTATAGCAATATTTCATAGGATGATCAAGTCATAAATAACATAGGTCGGTAACTGTTACTGCTATGTGAAAACACAAACGATTAAATTTTCATAGAGATTTGTTTTGTTTTGTTTTACCCAGAGGAATGAGGAGTATTAAAGAATTTTGGTATATTGTCTAAGCTGTTTTAAAAAGGAAGTTACTCGTAGGGGGCACTTGGGCTGCTCAGTCAGTTAAGCGTCTGACCCTTGGTTTCAGCTTAGGTCACAATGTCAAGGGATGGAGCCCTGCTTGGGATTCTCTCTCTCCCTCTCTCCTCACCCCCCCACAGGCTGTCTCTCAAAATAAACCTTATATGTACATAAAAAGAAAGTTACAGAAAAAAATACTAGGTAAAGAAAACTTGGGCTAAAGAAGTCTTAACGAGGGGTCCAGAAGGCCCTTGATATAGGTATTCATGTATGTATTTAAAAAAAAAAAAAAAGTCTCCAAATTCTATCTTTTTAATTTTTTGTAACCATATGAAGAAAAATAGTTATTTAACTTATTCTAAGCAACAACTCTCACAGGTGTGAGTAGGATAATTAGTTTTTAGTTTTTCTGTCATCTAAACACAAGGAAAAGTGCTGGCCTGTACTAATGAATTTTATTTTTTATTTTTATTTATTTTTAATTTTTTTTTTTTTAACGTTTATTTTTGAGACAGAGAGAGACAGAGCATGAACGGGGGAGGGTCACAGAGAGAGGGAGACACAGAATCTGAAACAGGCTCCAGGCTCTGAGCTGTCAGCACAGAGCCCGACACGGGGCTCGAACCCACGGACCATGAGATCATGACCTGAGCCGAAGTCGGACGCTTAACTGACTGAGCCACCCAGGCGCCCCTGTACTAATGAATTTTAAAGCAACTGACAAAACTAAAGATGAAGTTCTCTCCTCAACCTCTTTCCCTTTACTCTTCTCCCTATATAGTTCCCCTCCTTGCCTTAAAAAGTATTACTGGCCCTTTATCTATCCTCTTGGTAACTGAATTGAATCCTGTCTTCATTACTACCTCTTTTGCTTGAGTGGAATATCCAGAAAAAAAAGTATTGAGAACATCTGAGAAGCTATTAAGTACTAGGCTATTTCCATACCTTCTCTTGTATTCCTTAGAGCAGCCAACAATAGGAATTATTCCCACTTTACTGATAAGCTAATAAGTTCAGAAAGGTTAATAACTTTGCTGAAGGTTACAAAGCAACATCAAGTTAAAAACTAGTGATCGCCAAGATAAAGGATAGGTTAAAAAAATAAAAGAGCAAAGGCATAAAAAGCTTTTAGAAAATTCCAAGACATAAGGCCATAGGCAAGCAAACGCCAGGCTACATACACATTTTCAGGTATACCATCCACCCAACTCTAATGCTTTCTTGAGGTTAAAAGCTTCAACTAAAAAACCCCGTGTAAACACCTAATTCTTAATGATTTTTCAACCAATTATGATGAAGTCTTGTTACATTTTAGGAACTCAACTATGCATCAGCCTTTAAGAAAACAAATATTGTTAAATAAACTCAAGATAAAACGCATAGTTTTTAAGATCTAGCATCTACCCACTCTACTTACCAGGATTTATAAAACTGTGGAAATCTGCCATAATACCTTCTTGGAGAGAATATTTAACACAGCCTATTTCACAAGGGAGGAAGCGCTGTTCACAATGAGGAGGTAGTTCACCATGGCTAAAAATGTTCAAAAAATAAAAAATGCCTCCAAGGAGAGCTAAAAAAATAAATAAAAAGAAAAAAAAAAGCAGTAAGACAGCACAAATAGATGAGAGTTTACCCCTCTACAAAAGAAAGTTTTAGAACCGTTTTCCTTGTGTTCCTATAATCCTAAATGAGCTGGAAATGAGAAAACTAATTATCTGTACCAGATAAATGAATCAAAATTTTTATAATTATACTTATCAAGGATTACAGTGGTAACCACTCTGCATGAAGCAACAAAATTATTCAAATTTGCAGCCAGCTCTACATAATTTAGTTAGACATATGCCTTGAATTTCAGGAATGACTTAAGAAAAGCTGTGACCCATATTCAACAAATTCAAGAGGTTTGGGAAATAAAGCCAAGTAGAATCAGTGTAGAAAAACTGCATGATATAAACTATGGACAATTTAGTTCACTCTTTACTTTTTACCAATTTACATAAGAACACCAATGAATTCTCTAAAGGAAGAAAGAAATATGAGATTGCGAGAAGGGTTTTATACACCAGGATTGGCCACAATTTAAGACTGTTAAAAGTTTATTAATCTTCAACAAATTCATAACACAATAAAAACAGCCAGAAAGGAATAACAAGGGCTCTTATTAGCTACATTCTTTTCCAGGCCAACTCAATAATTCAACCTTCTCTTTGTAATTTAAATGTATTTTAAGGGTCTAGTTATAAACACTTAAATCTAAGAAGTATATTTAGTAACACATGAAGTGGTTATTAACCAAGAGACCAGATTTTTGTATAAAACAAAACCTCTCCAGTGTTACTTCAACAAACGCAAATTAGCTCATCTTTTACAACTTTAGCACCACTATAATTTGAACACTTGTAGTCAGTTATTTTATGCAGGATCAAAATGAACAGAACATATATTTACTGATCATTTGATCAATTTGAGCACCCACATTTATCTAAGCAAAACATTTTAGGATTATTATACCTTGATCACTTTTTAGAGACAAACTTGACATATCCGGGGGTGAAACATTCTGCTTTGGTACAAGCATGCCTGGCCTCCTCAGTGGGGTGGAAAAAGGTTTCTAAAGAAGAGGAGAATTCATCACATTTTTAAACTCTTACTGGTCACTTTATACATATACTTAAAGTTAGCAAAATAACAAAAACAGCTCATAGATTACTTCAGTAACCTCTCTAGGCCAATGAACCCCAATGAGTAAATAAACACATATCTGTCAGTGACACCAACAACCCAAAGGGAGACAAGGGCAAAATCTGTAAATATTCTGAATCAAAAGATGAGTAAACAACCAATTCAACTATTCCTGAAAACCATGTGCCCACTACTGATAATCCAAAAAAAATTTTTTAATGCCCACTACTGATAACCTAAATCAATCCCACTGAATCACATAATATATGCCAGCCCAGTGGCCAAAAGAACATTGTTCGACAAAGTACTTTAACACGATTTTTGCTAAAAATAAAAACCCGATCATGCTGACTCCAAGTCTCAATGAGGTATGTACACATTATGAGAGGAAATTTCTTATGAGAAATTATAGTAAAAAAAAAAAAAAATCAAAGCCCACAAGTATAACTAAGTACCAATGCAACTGATTAGAGCTTCTACTCAAATATACGTCTACAAAATAAAACAATCTCTCAAACCTAAAGCAAGCAAAGCTCTCTTGAACTTCAATCCGATGTTGACAGTTTAAAAAAAGAATGGAATTTTACTATGTAAGAATGGAAAGAACACAGAGGGAGGGGAAAAGTCCACAACTACCCTGAATTTTTTTTTCATGTTTATTTATTTTTGAGAGAGCATGCACACGGTGGAGGGACAGAGGATCCTGGCTGACAGCAGAGAGCTAATGAGGAGCTTGAACTCACAAACCCTGAGATCATGACCTGAGCCAAAGTCAGCCACTTAACCAACTGAGCTACCCAGGCACCCCAACCCTGAATTTTCTTGATACAAATCAACAGGAAAATTTTTTAGTACTTTATCATTTTACTAGTCATAACTTTACCCAAATAAACATTATTCAATTCTTACTATAAGGCACATTAACCTTCATCAGCATGTGCAAGTTTTGTTATTTCCAAATTTCAAACACAACAACTGGTCTGGTTCCAAGTGTCATTAAAAAAGACAGAATGGTCCAAGCTACTTTTAAACATTCAAAAAGGGAGTCTTTAATCATAAAGGGGTTGAAAGGAACCCTTAAAGATCATCTAGTACAAATCCTAAAACCCAACTCCCCCATTGCTGATCATGGTTTATTGGTTGCAGGTTTCCGAATAGGGATTTCCCTGTTTGGTGATTTCACACCACCCAATAACAACAATGTGTGGTTTGCCCTAGCTAGGGAACCTATTGGCTCTTTAAATTTTTTCCAGTAGGCTCCCTGCCCAATGTGGGGCTGAACTCACAACCCTGAGATCAAGAGTCGCATGTTCCACCAACCAAGCCAGCCAGGTGCCCAGGGAGCCCGTTGGCTTTTTAACAGGCATTCTGACACCAGGAAAAAGAAAAAAATAATAATAATCCTTCCTTGCATTAACCCAACTCACCCACCAGCCTACCCTTTTAGTCTACCCTTCACCCATTCACTCCTCCAGCATTTACTGAACACGCCTATGTGCCAAGCAGGTAACTGCTCTTCTCTAACTTTACCTGCTTCTCCGAAGGCCCAGAGTCCTTTCCCTGGGCTGCTCTCCACTCCCGAGCCATTTCTGCATACTTCTCCTTTTCTTCCTCCCTCAGGAGCTTGGGGACATTTAAGGGGACAGAAAGGAGAGAAGCGGCAATGAGGACGGAGTGCCCTAGGCCCCAGTCGCGGAAGCCTAGACTTTCCAGGTTTCCGCGTCGGTTTGCCTTAGGGCCGGACTTCCTTTCCCTCCAGCAGGGGCCAAGGGGTCACTGGTCTCTTCGAGGCCTCTATCCTTCCCACCTCGCCCTCTCACCTGCCCAACTGCCTGCTCTACCCCCCCTGCCTCCCAATGCCCCCCCCCCCAGCCTTACTTACCGTCCAGTCAGCAGAGCAGTAGGGGATGGCATCAGCTACGCGAGCCACGGGCAGGCCTCGCCGCCGTAGTTCAGGGATCTTCTCCTGCACAAAGAAATAGTAGGCATTACGGCTGGTCCTGCGGTTTGGCATGGCGAGCGAGGCCAAGATTCGACGTCCCGGGCCTGAGACAGCACAAGCCGCCGGCGCCCTCGCCGGGCTCCCGCCCTTAGTAACCGAGGCAGGCGCCTGCGCGCGAAGGCTTGCGGCGCTCAACCAATCAGGGCGCGGTGCGCAGGCGCATTGGCCTTGCCGGGAGAAAAGCAGTCCGAGGCGGACTCGTGGAGCCGTGGGGGTGGGGTGGAGAAGGGGGGGCGGAGCTCGGTCACAGGTGCAAAGCATTCTGATTGGCTGGGATGAGGCGTTGGTGCGTGTGCTGTCACGTGGAAGGCTCGGCGCAATTCCTGTACATTGTTGCGTAGTATGTGTTAAAGTAGGTACAGAAAAAGAGGCCTGGTGAGTTGTTTAGGTTCTTTCATGTTTTACGACTGTAAAAGGCCGGCTCTGTGTCAAGCACTGTGAAAGGTGTTGGGTGGGGGAAAGAGACAGGAGCGTGACAAACAAGATCTTTTCCCCCAAGAAGTTTACAATCTAATGGGGGGAGTTTGAGAAGGAAGGTGACGGAACAAGTGCATCAACCAATGTGGGGCACGCGGGGCGGGGGGGTGTTGTTGCCTTTTCGTTTCGCCCCCACCCCCGTTCTTAAATTACACTTGTTATGGTTGCAAAGAACATGGGGTTTTATAAAGCAGTTTGCAATATATGAGGAAGAAAACCGACAATAAAAAGCTGAGATTTAAAATAATGTCCCTGAAAAAAAAAAAACATAAATAACGTCCTTGAATAAAATTTTATAGGTTTCCTCAGAAAGGTCAGGAATATATTTGTAGCTGCTATGGAAACTTGAATCTTTTAATTGGTTACTGCTGGTGTATACAGAAGGTTTTGGTTTCAGTGTTATATATGCTTCACAAAGAAATCCCCTTATGAGGTCAGTTTATTAAGCATGTGTATACATGTTGATGTATATATATTTTAAATGTTTTTTATTTTATTTTTGAAAGAGAGAGAGTGACAAAGGATCCGAAGCGGGCTCGGCACCGACAGTAGAGAGCGTGATTCAGGGCTGGAACTCACGAAGCCGCAAGATCACAACCTGAGCGGAAGTCCGGTTGTTCAACCGACTGAGCCACCCAGGCGACCCATCGTATATGTTTTTAAGTCAAGAATAGGAGTTGAAAACTTATTAAATGCTTTTTGTGGATCATTTCAGATGATCATATGTTTTTATTCTTTAATTTGTTAATATAATACATGATACTGCTGGGGGGGCGCCTGGGTAGTTCAGTGGATTAAACCCCCAATTTCAACTCCGGTCATGATCTAGGTTGGTGGATTCTAGCCCTTCGTCGGGCTCTGTGCTGATGACTCGGAGCCTGGAGCCTGCTTCAGATTCTGTGTCTCCTCCTCTCTCTGCCCTTCCCCTGCTCGTGCTGTGTCTCTGTCTCTCTCTCAAAAATACATAAATATTAAAAATTGTTTAAATAGGGGCGCCTGGGTGGCTCAGTCGGTTAAGCGCCCGACTTTGGCTCAGGTCATGATCTCACCGTCGTGAGTTCGAGCCCTGCGTTGGGCTCTGTGCTGACAGCTCGGAGGCTGGAGCCTGCTTCGGATTCTGTGTCTCTCTCTCTCTCTGACCCTTCCCTGCTCATGCTCTGTCTCTCTCTCAAAAATAAATGTTAAAAAAAAATTAAAAAAAAATTTTTTTAAATAAATGATCCTGCTGGATTTCTCTAATTTTGAAGCATCCTACTTTTCTGAGTATAACCTCTTCTTGATCATGAAACATTGCTTTTTTTTTTTAACTTAATATAAGATTTTTTGCTTCCTTGTTTGAAGTGATACTGAATTATATTTTTGTGCTAGCCTTACAAAATGTTGGTATCAGCATTGTGATAGAATGAACTGCCATCTTTTTCTCTGTTCACATTAAACAGTATATGGGAATTATTTATTCCTTCACAGTTTGGTAGAACTTACTGGTAAAAGTCTTTGACCCTAGTATAGCTTTGGCGGATAGGGTTGCCCTTGTTTACCATTTCAATAGTTTGTATGGTTATTATTTTTTTTCAAGTTTTCTAATTTTCCTACTGTCAAATTTGGTAATTTGCATTTTTTAGAAGATTGTCTAATTCATTTAGGTTTTCCAATATATTGGTTTAAAATGTTGGCAAGGATGTGAAGCAACTAGAATTTCCATATATTATTGGTGGGACAATTGCATGACAGTTTCTTACTTACCATAGGACCCAGAAGTTCCACTCTTTAGGAGAAGTGAAAACACATATCCACACAAAGACTTATACACGAATTTTCATAGCAGCTCTATTTATATTCATTAATAGATTAACTGATAAGCAAATTGTAGAACATCTGTAGTAGACTGCTACTCAGGAATTAAATTAAATGGAATGAACTATTCAACGTGAATAAATACCAAGATATTTTGTTGAGTAAAAAAGGCATACATAAAAGACTACGTACTTTATACAAAAATGTATAAGTTTGTACACAACTTGAGAAAAGGTAAGACTGTAGTCAAAGAAGTCAGGCCAGTGGTTAGCTGGGGCCAAGAGGTAGGGTGAGGGGTTGCCTGAGAACTGACACAGGGAAACTTCTGGTTGGCAGAAATATTCTATATTTTGACTGTGGCATCAGTGGTTACAAGTGTTATATAGCTGTCAAAACTCCTCAAATTATACACCTGAAACGTATGCTTTTATTGTGTCTAAGTTATACTTCAAAAAGTTGATTTAAAAACAAAAACTTGGGGCGCCTGGGTGGCGCAGTCGGTTGAGCGTCCGACTTCAGCCAGGTCACGGTCTCGCGGTCCGTGAGTTCGAGCCCCGCGTCAGGCTCTGGGCTGATGGCTCAGAGCCTGGAGCCTGTTTCCGATTCTGTGTCTCCCTCTCTCTCTGCCCCTCCCCCATTCATGCTCTGTCTCTCTCTGTCCCAAAAAATAAATAAACGTTGAAAAAAAAATTTTTTTTTAAAAACAAAAACCTTTATTGGCATAAAAATAGTATTTGCTTATATTTAAAAATATATGTATTCTAATATTGCCTCCCCTTTTCGTTCTTAATGTTATTTATACCTTTTGTCTTTTTTCCCCTTAATACTTGCCAAAGTTTATTTTATTGATCTTTCCAAACACCAGGTTTGGGTTTCACTGATGAAATGTATAGTTTTCCTTTTCGTTTTAATTTCAGCTTTAAGTTTATGACTTCCATCTTTCTGCTTATCAGAGGCTATTTTGTGGGGTTTTTTTCTACTTTCTTGACTAAAAGCTTCATTCAGTTATTTTCAATTTATATTTACTATCTTTAGGTTTCTTGTTTTTCCTTCTTCTTCCTTAGTAGGATTGATCAGTATGTTTCGCTATACTTTTTCTTCTGTTGGCTTCAAGTTATACATTCTATTTTGCTTCATTCAGTGGCTACCCATAAATGTTTAAGATACTTGCATTAAAACGTATTTTTATAACAACATATACAGTTAATAAGTATCTATATACACTCTTCCCAAATAGACAAGAAGCTTAGAAAATTATTGCTTTCCTCCACTTAGTTCCCCAACTCATTCCTTGCTCACCCCACTTCTGTCTCCCATGGTGGCATCATCTGGGATTTTAGTTCCTGGTTGCTTTGTTACACTAATGTTGAGACATGACTGAAATACCAGTCTGATAGATATAGAGTAGTTATCTAAAGCATACAATTTGATGAGCTTTGACATGTGAACACCTGTGAAACCATCATCCCCATCAAGATAATGAACATATCCACCCCTAGTTCCCACCCCTCCCCTTTAGGCTTGAAGTTGCCCGCAGTTCACTGATGTACTGTTTGTTTTTGTCTTCAGTCTTTTTTCTCTGATTTTCATTTTTGCAGTTTCTGTTGCTATTTCTTCATGTTTACTAATCTTTGCTTCTGTAATGTCTCATCTGCTATTAATCCCATCCAGGTTTTGTTTGTTTGTTTGTTTGTTTGTTTGTTTTGTTTTTTTTGTGTTTATGTTTTGTTTTTTTTTGGTTTTGTTTCTTTTTGGTATCGGATCATTTAGTTTTCATCTCTAGAATTTGATTTGAATCTTTTTTATCTCGTCCACATTTCTACTTATCATGGTCTATCTTTCCTCTATCTTTAGTGTGGAATGTAGTTGTAATGTGGACTATAGTTATAACAACTTTTTTTTTTTTTTTAATTTTTTTTTTTCAACATTTATTTTTTTTTTTTTTGGGACAGAGAGAGACAGAGCATGAATAGGGAGGAGAGAGAGGTGGAGACACAGAACGGAAACAGGGCTCCAGGCTCCTGGAGCCATCAGCCCAGAGCCTGACGCTGCCTCGGAATCATGGATCATGAGATCGCGGACCTGGCTGAAGTCGGACGCTTAACTGACTGCGCCACCCAGGCGCCCCTATGAATAACCTGCTCCACCATTCCATCATCATCTGTGTCATTTCTGGGTCTGTTTCTACTGGTTGATTTTTCTCCGTATTATGGGTTGTATTGTCTTGCATCTTTGCAAGCCTAATCATATTTGATTGCACGACAGTTGTAAATTTTATCCTTTTGAATGCTGCATATTTTTATATTCTTATAAATGTTCTTGTGCTTTTTCTGGGATAGAGTTATGTTATTTGGAAACAGTTCAAGTATAGTTTTTCCTCCTTTTGAGGCTTACTTTTATGCTTTGTTACTTGGAATCAGAGCAACCTTTAGGGCTAATTTTCTCCTCTGCTGATATAATACCCTTCTTAGTACTCTGCCTGACAACCCGTGAATTTGGAAGTTTTTTCACTTTGGCTGATGGAAACACAAACTATTTCTAGCCCTGTGTGAATTTCAAGGATTGTTCCTTCTAATCCTTTCAGGTTGTTCTTTCCCTGGCACTGTGTAGTTTCCTCCCACACATGCACTGATCAGTATTCAGCTGGAGCTTCAAGGGAGATCCTTAACAGATTTCCAGAGCTCTTTCTTTGTGCTGGTCTCTATTTTCTGGTACTCTGCCCTGCAAACTCTAGTCACTGT